TTGGCCTATTTTACACGATGTTTGGCCACAGTGTGACCCCCCCAGGGCTCTGCACACCACCGGGAATTCTGCAGCTGGGGGAGGAGCGGCTGATTCATTTCTTAATGAAAACAAATTAATTTGCAATAACGTCTTTATCACAAGGTTTTCATATGCTTCGTGTCCTCCTCCGAGCTCTCTGGCTGCTTCTTTTGGAGCAGACGTGAAATTCGGGTTGTGAATATAAATCTCACCTCCTGGCAGGGCATGGTGCTGATAGACCTGAACAGCTTCTCTTCTGTGCTGCAGCTGAGACCATCAGTGAGGATAAAACCAGTTTCCCTGCAGAAACCAAGGCAGGTTTAGCAGGACACAAGGAGGGTGAGCCTGGCTCCTGGCATTTACCTGCTCTCATTTATCCCCAGGGTATCACTAATTCCTGCTTCAAGGGCTTCAAGCCTCCTCTTGGGGCTGGAGCCAGAGTTGGGAGCTGGTGGTCCCCAGCACATGCCTGGGGCTGCCCCTCCACCACGGAGACAGACGGGGCTCGGCTCGTGCCTCTCCCTCTCGTTTTCCACTTGAATGAGATCCCGTTGGTGCAGGGCTGGTCACGGATCGCAGATGGGGCATGTGCCATGAATCCCTCTCCCAGCTGAAATCTGTTAAGGGATTAAAATCTCATGAATCTCCAGGCTCCTCCCGGCAGCGAGCAGCCTTCCGCTTCTCCAGAGGGCTGGAGGCAGGCGAGGACGGAGGAGGAACGATGGGAAAAGGGGCCCTTTGCAGGGAAGAGCCTCTGCTCTCAGCTTTCCCCTCATCCCTCCTCTGTCCCGCGCTCAGCATCGTGTCCGATGGCCGGGAACTGCGCTGGTTTTCTGCCAGCTTGGAGAGGACACAGTCGAGTAGAAGCCAAGACATTGGGCAAAAACTGTTTCTCTGGGCTGATGCTTGCACCACCTGGGCTTGCTCTTTGTGGGTCCCTGAGTCTTGCTGAGAGCCTGGGTGCTGCCTAAACGTGCTCCACGAGGCACATCTTCCCAGCTGAGCAGCTGAGATGAATGCAAAGGAAAGAGGATGCCATGCAGAGAGACTTTGCCCTCCATTTGGATGCTGCTCAAAGCCATTTTGCTGTGTGTGGCACAGGTTTCTGTCCCTGTTGATGGAGGAGCCGTGCAGGCATCCACAAGCATGGCACTGAGCGCTTTTGCAAGATAAAAGAGGGGAAATTTGGATTAGATCTAAGGAAGAAATGTTTTACAATGAGGGTGGTGAGGCATTCATTTCATCATCAGGATTGAGAAGACTCTGCCAAAATCCCCGTTTTCCTTAAGGCTTTTTTTTTTTTCCATAATAAATATGTTTTGAGAGTTTCTGATGAGCGCTGTTCCCGAGATCTCCATCAACTCATAAAGGCTTTTAGTGTTTGCTCTTTTGTAAAGCAGTTTTGATGGCAATGAATGGGTTGTTTGGTTTGTTTAATCAATCTCTGTAAAACTTTAGTGCTGAAAGCTGTTGTGTAGAAGAGAAAGCTCTGAGGAGATTTTCTAGCAGCCTTCCAGTACCTAAAGGGGCTACAAGAAAGCTGGAGAGAGACTTTTTACAAGGGTGTGTAGTGACAGGACAAGGGGCAATGGCTTTAAACTGAAAGAGGGGAGATTTAGATTAGATAGAAGGAAGAAATTTTTTACAGTGAGGGTGGTGAGGCACTGGCACAGATTGCCAGAGAAGCCAGAGAAGTTGTGGCTGCCCCATCCCTGGAAGTGTTCAAGGCCAGGTTGGATGAGGCTTTGAGCAACTTGATCTAGTGGAAGGTGTCCCTGCCCATGGCAGGGGAGTGGAAACCAGATGATCTTGAAGGTCCCTTCCAACCCAAACCATTCCATGATTCTGTGGTTCTATATAGTGTCAGATGATAACGGTGCTGCTGCTGCACAAATTGCATGAGACAACCCTGCCGTGCAGACCCCTGAGCCCCAGCACAGCAGCCGAGAAGGGCCCTCATCATCCTTAACCAGGCAGGACTCACGCACTCCTGCGTTCGCTCTGCAGCCGCAACATCTGTGGGTGTGCAGGGTGGGGTGGCCCTTGGTGAAACACCCCATCCTTGCAGCAATCAGTGGGGTTTCTTTTTCCTGCCCTGATGCCTATACAATTTTTAGTGTGGTCCCTTATGACTTGCCAGCTCCTAGCAGAGAGCTGCTCTGGGGTTGGAGCATCCCCCAGGCATCACGGTAACACTACAGACACCTTATCTGGCGTCCCTCCCTTGTCTTTGCAGGAGGGGGACTCCCTTGGGGCCATGGAGAAGCTTTGCCGGCAGCTCACCTACCACCTCAGCCCCCACTCGCAGTGGAGACGCCAGGGCATCATGAAGAGGAAACCGCAGTCCTGGTGAGTCGGCTTTTGAAAGCCACCATCTCCGTCCCCTCCCTGCTCTGTGTCCTTGGGACCAACTGCAGGCTCAGGAGAGTGGGAAGAGGGTTTCTCCATGATATTTTTGGCTACGGTGTGCAAATGTGGGTGCTGGTGGGAGCTGCCTGTTGCATGCAAGCAGCAAGAGGAGGAACAAATCCACCATGATGAAGGAAAGTGCTTAAAACCATTAGTGGGGGCTGGGAGGGAGCCAGGAGGTCAAAACCTTCTGAGCTCATCACAACCTCCAAAATCCTCAGTTGTCTCCAATCTCACTGGCATTTCCCCCATGCATGGTAGTGTTATCAGGTCGCTTCATGCTCACTCAGAGGTGTTTTCCTCCTTTTCCTCTTTCCTTTCCCTCTTGCATCCTGGTTGCAGAGAGGAACAGCACAGTAGTACCTGAGGAGGGGGAATGGGCTGGAAATCCTGAGCCATCCATCCTCCAAACATCCCCATGCTGGGCATTGGAGAGCTGGAGACAAACTGCTCCAAGACATCCTAATTAGCTGGTAATTAACGTACAGGCATGCATCACCATGCACACCGTAGCTCAGAGCGTGTTCACACAAAGGGAACTGTTTGATGAAAAAAAAGAGAGTAAATGACCCCGGTTCTCTCCTCACCCGGGTCCTCAGCAAAGCGTCCCGGCTGCCAACATCCTGGATCCACAGAGCTGAAAAACCCGTGGATGAGGCTGATGGGGATGGAGAGGGCTCCTTATTTTCCGTGATGTTATGCATCGTATATTTATTATTTTTGTTTAATGAAACGAGAAACACAAAAGAAGCTGCAATCTGGTAGAGTCAGGATTTGTATCCAGGTGTTCGCTCGTGGTCCCAAGAGACTTTTGGTTCCTGTTGTAGCAGATGCTATTTGTAGCCATAGTGGAGGCTAATCCCGTGAAAAAACTTAGTCTGAAAAGAGAAGAAGAGGGGAGGAAAATGGACACAAGAGGAAAACAGACACCAGGGAATAAAGGACTGTGTGGCGAAATAGGATTAGGACCACACCTCCCGGAGATCTGGCTCAGCATCCTTGCATCTGTTGTCCTTAGAGACCCAAGCGTGGAGGAAAGCGTCCGTTCCATTAGCAGTGGTAACCATACTGGGGTGTGTCAAGCGTGTTTAAGGTGTGCTGATGACTACAATTTGCTCCTTCCCGTAAAGCGGCAGAAATGGAGAGAGCGTGTTGGGGCTACGTGGGGTGAGGCTGTACCCCCCGGGCTGGGCTCAGCACACGGAGCCGGATAGTGACCCGGGAGCTCAGTTACCCTCGGGTGTGTTTTTTTCCTTAATTAAAATAGGAAATGCGCACCGCTTGTGATCCCATCAGGGCGTTAATAAGGTTACACGGATGCAGCAGTGGGGAGCTAGAAAAGAAATTCTTGAAAATGAAAAAATTTAAAGCAGCGCTTTGTGCCACTCTGTCTTTAATTACCAATCCCTGTCCTTAATTATCAGCTTGGGGCGATTGTGCGAGCGTGTCCGCGTGCCAGAGATTTGCGAGGCTTTATCTTGCACACCTGCTGTAACGCTTGCCTTTCCTTGGAAGAGCTGAGGAATAGCTGAGGTTTTTCATGGTTTTAATAGCAGGGGTGAGGTTTTGGCCATAAACGAGCCCTGACCGCACAGCAACGACCCCCGGGCTGCGAACACGTGGCGCTGGCTGCTGGCTCTGCCCCAGCGGGGGTTTGTAGGACGGGATTTGCCTGGAATTCTGGTTTAGATGCTCATTTAGGAGGCGGCTGTAAGTTGAAGTCAACCCTTTGCTAGAAGTTGAAGTCAACCCTCTGCTGACATCTAAATGCCGTAATATAGAGAATATGTAGAGAATAGAGAAAACATCTTTCTTGTCTTCCCTGTGCTCAAGCACCCACCACTTTGTGAACTGGCAGTTACCCTGCTAGGGATGCTCCTGATCTCATGTGCGTGTTAGTTGGTGGGTAGTTCCTTCCGCCACCAATGACCAGTGGGTGTTTCCCCAGGGCCCCGGCTCTGGGTTGAGGTTTGCAAGTGCCCTGTGATACCTCCAAGGGAGTAATGGGGTCTTGTTCCCAGGTTTTGGCTTTGACTTGACCCAGCCCTGCTGTCAGATGTTGTAGGAATTTTCAAATATGACGTTTACACACTTTTTTGTGTTTCTGTTGGCCATCCATAACCCATAAGCGCCCTGCTCTGGGGTGTGATTAGTAGCTGGCTTTAATGACCAGGGTGCTACAGAACCCCTCTCTGCATCTGTCTCTTCTCAAGAAGAGCTTCAGCTTGGTGCGGTGATAGCGGGGGATTTTGGTCCCCACTGGTGGAGTAGGAGAGGACAGGCCCATTTTATCAGCTATAAAACCGAAGCCAGAGGGAATACTTTCCCAGCTGTTTCTATAGCTGCTTTTGTCATACTGTATCTTGTCCTAGTCCTTTGCTTGGACAGTTGCTGTTCGTTTAGAAACTAGACAGAGCCAGTAAATCAAGCGATTCCTGGACTTCCTTTAAAGTTCCCATTCCTCAAGTTCCTCTCCCTCCTCGTGTGCTAGTTTTTGCAGGATTGATCGTGCCTCCATGGAGAAGGTGTTTGCTAAGCAGCTATGGACTACCTTTGTAATTAGGATATGGTTTGTTTTGATTTATTGGAGGCTCCCCTTGTGAAATTCCCATTTGCACAGGCGCAGAAGCGGTGCAACCCCCAGTGTCTGGGAAGCCTGGGACTTGTGATGTGGATCCCACCAGTCTGTGGATTAACTCCTCTTCCAAGCCTGGGATTCACCTGATACCTCTCCTTGGTGTTCAGAGATACTCCTCGGTGGCCTTCTATACCACGCAGCCAGCAGTCGATCCAGCAGTAAAGTCCCAGGAAAGCCCACGGCGGTGCCCATGGCACGGTCTACGGTGACCCCTCTCTGCAGCAGCAGCCCCCAACAGGAGGTCATCAACAGAAGGAGGTGTCTGCTCTGGGGGCTTCGGAGCCCTGAAACCGGGATGTCCTCTTGAGAGCTGTGTGCGAGCCCGGATGCCTTGAGGAAATGACGAGGTGTGAGAAATCACCTTCCTTAGAGGTCTGCGGAGGAAAACGCGTTGCCTGCTGGGATGAGACGCACGTGTGAAGCCGATGCGCTGGGACGAGCCCTGAGGCTGCTCCTCCTGCTGCTCCTGGCCCCGGCTGGGGAAAACAAGACAGGGGCTGCTGCAGAAGAGATGATGTTTTTTTCCCTTCTCTCCTCTCCTTCTCCCTGCAGTACCTTGTAACATCCTCAGGCTGCACCATGCAAGTGATACATTCTTAAGCCATTTCTTCTCTTTTTTCTTCATTCTCTTTCTTTCTTTGCTCTTTCTTTTCATTGTCTGTCTTTCTTTTTGGAGAAGTCGTCTTCTGAGTCTCCTGCAAGACAACTTCGGGGTCAGAAAGGGATGATTTGGAGCCACCTCCGTGTTGTGAGCTGCCTGGTGGATCGATCCATGAGAAGGATGTAACACCTTGCTTTGGATGTGGAGACCTGGTCTCTCATCTCCTGGATGGTTATTTTTGACCTTACGTTGAGTGCTTTGGCTCTGTCACTGGTTGTCTGCTGATAATTAGGGATTGCAGCACAACGGCAGGGGTTGGTGGAGCCCACCATGGAGTTACTCAAAAATACTTTGTTGATTAGAAATCTGTATCTTTGTGATGCATTGTGCTCCTGGGTCCCATCTGCTGGAGACCCGCTCGTTAGCGCACTGACTCATAATGAGCAGAAACACACGTGTCGTCATCTGTGCCATGGCTTCGTTAAGAGGCATCGCTTCTCTGGGCTCATGGCTGTGCCCATCTCCTGATGCTCTGCAGTCCCCTGTGCCCTATAGCTGGGTTAGACCTGTCAGAAGGGTTTGGGAAGGAATTGGGGTTTAATTATCCCTGCTGTCAGGAGTGCATTTGTGGGTAACGGAGGCTGATATGTAATAGCATCGGCTGCGTTAGTGCGATGCTGCTCCCTCTCTTTGATCCAAAGGTTTCTCCAAGTTGTGAGATCAAGGGGGTCTCAGACACCAGTGGGACGTTTCTCTTTTCTTGCTCAGGACTGGTGAAGGGGTGGTGGCCTCTGGATGTCATTGTATTGCCACCTCCTCGGATGCCCACAGTCATGTTTTTCAGGGGATAGCATCCCTTCTTCACTAAACTCCCACTGGCATTTCCAGCAGGCATCGGGGCCATAGCCACAAGCAGTGGGGTGGACCAGTCCTTCCTGGACCACCCTGCCCTGGGACCCTCTGGTACCTCGGCTGAGGTCTCGCCGGTGTGCCAAGCAAGATCCTCGCACGTGCGCGCAGCTCGACCTGAGCGCTGAGCAAAGCCAAAGAACTGTGATTGGCCTCACCAGAAATGCGGTGAAATAATTACAAGGGGAAATTGCTTTCCTTTATTCCGCTGTGTTTGTTATAGGTGATAATGGGAAGCAGAGCAGCTGGAGGGAAGGATGGGGACAGGTGATAGCGAGGACTGGAGCTGATTTTCTTTTTATTTTTTTTTTGGTCAGTTGTGTTATGGCCGGGCAGCCTGCCGCGTAGGCAGAGGAGGATGGCAGCGCTTCCCGTTCCATCTGCCCCCAGGCATCACGTTCAGCACGTGCACAGAAAGAGCCAAATCGAGGGAGAAGCTCTTGGCGTTGGCTGCCCCGCTCTGCCTGGCCCTGGAGCACCCAAACCTGTGCCAAATGACTTTATTGTTTTTGGCGTATTATAAATCTGTCTGTCTCTCGCTTGCCATCTCCCTTTCCGTGCCTCCCTCTGAATCACGTGTATTTATATTAAACATCCAGGATGGAAATCAGCGTTTTGCCTTGGAAGGGTAGCCAAGAGCAGGAGGATGAAAACAGCGATTCGTACATCTCTGGCTCTGCCTAGGGCCGTGATTACGCTCCAGCGTTTAACTAGCAAGCGTTGAATTAGATCCTGGAATGTCCCTGCTCCTCCTGCTGCCGAGCGCTCGCCTTTGACATCGCAAAGGCTAAA